TTCCACTTGGCCACACCAAGTTCTGTGACACTTTATTATTTTTTTTTAAGAGACATTTTTGTTGTAGGGCACATGAGCTCACTGGAGAAAGAGACAGAAAGCAAGAAATCACCCCCAAGGGGGATGGCTACACCACAATCTGTTCTCCGCCATTCTCCTCTCAGGATCTTGGACACGCATGCACATGCACCTGGCATGAGTTTTAAGCTGCCGGGCCTGGGACTCAAACTGCAGTTTACTACATGGGAGTCCAGTGACATAACCACTATACCATCTGCTGGTCCCACTCTGTGACATTATTTATTTATTTATTTATTTATTATGATCATTATTATTTTTAAAAGAATTATTTATTTAATTTCATTTATTATCATTATTTTCAAATCTGCTGCAGAACACATGCTCTCATCAGAGAGAGATAGAGAGCAATAAAGAAAGCAAGCCACCAGGTTCAGGAATTGAACTTCAGTTGACCATGTAGGAGTCTAGTACCTCAACCACTATGCCACCTGCTGGCCCCTTATTATTATTTTTAAGAGAGATTTTTGCTATAGGGCATGTGCACACATCAGAGAGACAGAAAGCAACAAATCACTCCTCGGGGGAATGGCCATGCCACAATCCCTTCTCCATTCTCCTCTCAGGATCTTGGGCGTGTGCACACATATGTGCTCCTGACATGGGTTTTAAGCCACCACGTCTGGGACTTGAACTGCAGTCAACTACATGGGAATCCAGCAATGCAACCATTATACCATCTGCTGGCCCTGCAATAACATTTTTTAGCTTCAGGGGTTCCCTTCTGGACCTGCTCATAGCCCACTATGACACCTATACTATGACACTAAGTAGACTGCCCCCAAATTTCTTTTATTTTTTTAATTGCCAGAGGGTGTGTACCCTCGCTGGGCAAAAAGGGGCTATAATGGGGTATGGTCACACTGAGCTCTCTTCTACTCCAACTCCCTGTCCTGTCAGGATTTGTGGCACACGTGTGCCAGATGTGCTTTTCAAGTCACTGGCACCAGGCTTCAAACTGTGGTCAGCCACGTGGGCTCCAGCTCCCTTAACCACTAGGCGATGGGGCTGGCCCATGAACCAAAATTTCTACCAATGGAGTCTGTGCCCCCCCCCTTTTTTTTTAAGTTTCCTGACATAGGGCACACACACTTGCAAGAAAGAGACGGAGAGGGGTAAAGTGTGAAATCACCACAGGGGATGGCCACACTGCAATCCCTTCTCCGTTCTCCTCTTGGGATTTTGAGCACTCACACATGCCCAGTGTGATTTTGAAGCTGCCAGAGCCAAGACTCAAACTGTAATTGGCCATGTAGGAATCCAGCGCCTTAACCACCACTCCACCTGCTGGCCCCTGTGTCTCTGTTTCTTAAAACTTCCTAAAGCAGATATACTGGGAGGAACTATACAGATACTCTAGACTTAGAGTCAACAACTATGTTAAAAGGCAGGAGAAGAGGATTTCTATAATGATCTTTGGAATTGAAGTCTAAGTTTTTTTTGTTTTTGTTTCTGGTTTTTTTTTTTTTTTTTTTTTTTTTAAAGGGTTTTTTTTTGGGTTTTTTTTTTTTTTAAGAGGTTTTTGCTTAGGGTGCATGCTCTTACCAGAGAGACAGAGACAGTGAGAGGGAAAGTGAGAAATCATCTCTCAGGGAGGATGGCCACAGTCCTCCATTTTCCTCCCGGGATCTTGGCCATGCATGCACATGCGCCTGGTTTGAGTTTTAAGGACTTGAACAGCAGTCAGCCTGTGGGAGTCCAATGACATAATCACCATGCCATCTGCTGGCTCCATGGAGTATAATGTTTTTTAAAGAGTAGTGTTGGGGCCAGCAGGTGGCATAGTGGCTAAGGACGCTGGACTCCCACATGCCCAACCGTGGTTCGAGCCCTTAGCAGCTTGCTTTCTCACTTTCTCTCTCTCTGTCTCTCTTACTCGCTCTGTCCCTCTCTGGTCAAATTGAAAAAAAAATAAAAAAGTAAAAAAATAAAATTAAATAAAATAATTCCTAAAAAAGAGAGTAGTGATGGTGGTGGGGGACCCTGTGGCCTAGTGATTAAAGGAGTCAGATTCCACATGGATGACTGTGGTTTGTATCTTGGCCCTGGCAGCTCGAAAAACACACTGGGCACACATGCATGCATGTCTAAAGTTGTGCCGGAATCGAGAGATGAAGAGGCTTGGCAAGACCATGCCCACTGGAGAGCACTCCAACAGGGTCTTGGTCCTGCAATCTACCCTGGCCTTCAGCTAGCTCTGGACCACAGGCAAGTGTGTGCCTTGTATACTAGGGAATGACTTTTATAATATGTGTTTGTGTATTATATACGTGTGTGTGTGTGTATTTTAAAGAGGTTTTTGCCATGGGGCATGTGCATTCGCCAGAGACAGACAGAATCAGTGAGAGGAAAAGTGAGAAATCACCTCCCAGGGGGATGGCCATGCCACAATCCCTTCTCCATTCTCCTCTTGGGACCTTGGGCACACATACATACATGCCTAGTGTAAGTTTCAAGTCACTGAGTCCGGAACTTGAACTGCAGTCAGCCACATGGGAGTCCAATGATGTTAACCATTATGTCATCTGCTGGCCCCACCTCATGACTTCTCTGACAACCCAATATTTCTCTCTGAGTGGTACAAGGATTACACGAAAACCAAAGAAAATGAGGCCAGCAGATGATGTAGTGGTTATGTTGCTGGATTCCCACCTGGCTGACTGTGGTTGGAGTCCCAGATCCAGTGGCTTGAAATTCACACTGGGTACATGTGCATGCCCAAGATCCCAGGAGGAGAATGGGGCAGAAGGGATTGTGGTGTGGCCATACCCCCGGGGAGGGAGATTTCTCACTTTCCTTCCCACTGTCTCTCTCTCTCTGGTGAGTGCATATACCCTAAGGCAAAAAAACCCTAAAAACAAACAAACACACACACATGCGCGCGCACACACACACACACACACACACACACACACACTCACACAAACTCTTAAAAAAAAAACAGCAGTGGACAGTATCTAAAAAAATCTAAAACAATGAAACTATAAAATGATTTCCAACTTTATAATCAACCTATAGACAAAGCATAAAAGGCTGAACTATAGCTAGAGAATAGTACACAAATACTGTCAACCCTAAAAGTCTGATGTAGCTGAATGAGTTGGAGTAAGAGACAGGAAAATGGAGGAAAATGGAGGAGACTAATATCCTCATTTTACAAAAAAGGAGGTCTTAGGGATAGGACCTAGCCTAAATATGGAATTCATTTGTTACCTATGCACACAACCTGGAAGTAATTGTAGACAGTATTCTGACTGCAACTTACCACATGAGGTCAGGGGTGTAATTTTCCACTTGTAGTACTACATCTGCTCTTAGCAAGTTTTGGATTTTGGATGCTCAGGTTAGTAATGCTCCACTTGGGGACCAGGAGAGGCATAGTGGCTATGTTGCTGGACTCCCTTGCAGTTGACCACAGTTCGAGTCCCAGACCCAGTGGCTTAAACTCACACCGGGTGCGTGTGCATGCGTGCCCAAGATCCCGAGAGGAGAATGGAGGAGAAAGGACTGCGGCGTGGCCATCCTGCCTGGGGGGTGATTTCTCGCTTTCTGGCTCTCTGTCGCTCTCTTTCTGGCGAGCACACATGCCCTACAGCAAAAACCTCTCCAAAAAAAAAAAAAAAGAAAAAGAAATGCTCAACCTGTGCTAACATTCCCAGAAGAGAAGAGCCCTTCCATATTCTTCCTCACCTGTAATCAATGTCTGTCCTGTTCACCAACTCCACGCCATAGTGATACAGGAAATTACAAAGACGTCAACCCACCACCCACTTTGTCTTTCACAATCTGACAGATGAAGACATTAACACTGAAGGTACAACGCAAGTCTGCTCAGCTCTTAGTCTAGAGGCCAAACCCACCGACTTCCACAGGCATGAGCCATTGTCACAGGCACAGGCACAGAACTCTCGACACCAGGACAGCACTGGGCAGCAGCACAGAAAGGGCAAATGGAGGGCATTCCATATAGTTCATGGACCTCACGGTGCACTGATAAAACCCATATAGTTATGACCCACATGAAGTTATAAAGAAGTTTATATTTCTTTTAAGCCTGAAACAGCTAATAAAACCGACTATTTCTAGGTCCAATCAAAGTAGCACACAGAGGCTGAGCCTGTGGCGGAGGCCCCACTTAAATGCTGACATGGTGGCACATGCCTGTAGCCCAAGCTACACAGGAGGCCACGGCCGAAGGATCACAAGCTGTGGCAAGACCCTGTTTGAGAAAGCCAGGCATGGTGGTGTGTGCCAGTGGTCCCTGCTACTCAGGAAGTGGTAGGATAATGACACAGCAGGATCCTGTCTAAAACACACACATACACTTTGAAATTTTTTATCCCTCAAATAAACTTATTTACTTATTTATTTATTTGGAGAGGTTTTTGCTATACGGCACATGCACTCGCCAGAAAGAGAGACAGAAAGCGAGAAATCAACCCCCAGCAGGGATGGTCATGCCACAATCCCTTCTCCTCCATTCTCCTCTTGGGATCTTGGGCACACACACACACACACGCCAGGCGCTAGTTTAAGCTGCTGGGTCCGGGACAAACCGCAGTCGACTACATGGGAGTCCAGTGACATTACGCCAACGGCTGGTCCCCCAAATAAACTTCTTAAAAAAGTTTATTTTTTTCCTTTATGAAAGCAAGAGAGAGGGATATAAACACCCTAAACAGGATCCTACACCATGACCCTAGCCTTCCTACCCAGCCAGGGTCACAAGTGTGTGAGTGCATGCCTGCTCTGTACAGGCTAACCAGGAACCAAACCTGATCCTTCCATATGGCTTCCAGCAATGTGGAGCAATGTATGCAACTATGTTACATGGCTAGGCCCAAAAGAATTCTTTAAAAATAAAAATTATAATCCAAGCCCATTAGTCAATGTAAAAATTCATTTAATTCACAATTACTTACCCCATTTTCAGTGCGTTTTTCTCCAGCTACATTTATTACATTTCTCTGAGTTCTTTGCTCTTGGGTCTGACGGCTACCTACAGAAATAAAAGGACCAAACTTACTAAAAGACATATTAGAAAAAATGATACTCTCTCATGTCTTCATTTAATTTGAGTATTTATAAAAAACAAGGCTGAGAAATGCAAATTAGTACACTTAAAAATATTTTATAACTTATCTTTTATATATATAAAAATGGAAAGTTTTCTTTTTACATTGTATCTCATAATCTTTTTTTTTTCCCCCGGAGAGGTTTTTTTGCTATAGGGCACATGTGCTCACCAGAAAGACAGAGACAGAGACAGAAAGCGAGAAATCACCCCCCAGGGGGATGGCCACGCCGCAATCCCTTCTCCTCCATTCTCCTCTCAGGATCTTGGGCACACATGCACATGTGCCTGGCGTGAGTTTATAATACCGGGCCCGGGACTCAAACTGTGATCGACTACATGGGAGTCCAGTGATATAACCATTTCGCTAACAGCTGATCCCATAATCATTTTTTTTTTAAGAGAGCAATTTTTGCTCTAGGGTGTGTGCACTCACTGGACAGACAGAGAGAGACATAGAGACAGAAAGCGAGAAATCACCCCCCAGGGGGATGGCCACGCCGCAATCCCTTCTCCTCCATTCTCCTCCCGAGACTTTGGGAATGCATGCACATGCACCCAGCGTGAGTTCAGGCCAACAGGTCTGGGACTCGAACCACGGTCGGCTACATGAGAGGTCAGTGATGTAACCATTATGCCATTTGCTGATCGTTGTATCTTAGAATCTTAAAATTGACTTGTTATCAAAAGGCTTTAACACTTAAAAATAGTGACTGTGGTAAATTTTATGTTATGTGTATTTTACCACAATCGAAAATAAATATTTTTTCAAAAAGGCTTTTTTAGAAAAACAACTATTTGGGGCTGGCAGGTGGCATGGTGGTTGGGGGCGCTGGACTCCCACATGGCCAACCACAGTTCGAGTCTCAGACCTGGTGGCTTGCTTTCTCACTTCCTCTCTCTCTCTCTGTCTCTCTCTGATCAAACTTGAAAATAATAATAATGATGATAATAATAAAGTTAAATAACATAATTATTTAACAAAAGAACTATTTATTTTAATTTTATTTATTCATTCATTTATTTTAATTTGACCAGAGAGAGAGAGAAAGTGAGAGAGCAAGCCACCAGGTCCAGGACTTGAACCATGGTCACTCGTGAAGAGTGTCCAGCACCTTAACCACCATGCTACCCGCTGGTCCCCCCAAAAAGGTTTTTATGTTTTATGACTAAAATAGAACTTATTACCCAGCAATTAAAAAAAATAGATGCAAGACATTGATCTTCACTAATAGAGTTAAAACTGAGATGGAATACCATTTCAAACTTGGCAGTTTTACAAATTTCTCTGTTCCATAAAAATTAAAATGTCAGTGGGCCAACCCAGCAGGTGGCATAGTGGTTATGTCACTGGACTACCATGGCCAGCAGTAGTTTGAGTCCCAGACCTGGTGGCTTGAAAATCTGGCTTTATAGGATGCCTAAAGTTAGACTTGTGTTCATGGAAATGTATATATCAGCTGTGTTTGCTATGAAAATATTTAGATTAATTAAGATCTTTAGTAATTTGATAAAAAAATGGGGGGGGACAGTATAGAAAGTAAACATAGATACCAGAGACAGTGTGGGAAGAGAGTAGGAGATGGCAGAGGGTAAGAGATAGGGAATTAAGGATGGGGGGAAAAAAGCAAAACATACAGGAAACAAGAAAAGGAAAATTATTTGTTGACAATAACATGTATGTTGATGTGCTTGATTGAGACAATATACAGTGTACTCTGGATGGAAAACCTCATTTTGTATGCTGTAATGATGTACAGTGAATGAACGTAAACAAATAAATTTAAATTAAAAAAAAAAAAAAGAAAAGAAAATCAGGCAGTGGGCATGTTCCTAAGTGCCCAAGATCCCAGGAGAAGGAAGGAGCAGAAATTACTTCCTTACAGAGATGGAGCTGGGAGAGGATGGCGTGCAAGAGACACAGGATGTGACGCCTCCTCTGTCTGGTCCCTCTCTGAAGTGGCTTTTTTTCCCTTTGGAGAGGTTTTTGCTACAGGGCACGTGCACTCGCCAGAAAGACAGAGAGAGACAGAGAGACAGAAAGCGAGAAATCACCCCCCAGTGGGGAGAGCCACGCTGCAAGCTTTGCCAAAGACTCAATGATCAATTATGATGCCTCTACGGATCAACGTCTGGTCAAAGATTTGGGCAGCCTAAATAGGACTTTGTGAAATGAGGTAAAGATTGCAGAGCAGACTTTATCATCTTGAACCTTGAAGATAAACTGAGATTTGGATATAATATCTAATATGATGTTTGTGCCCTTATTAAATACATTACCAAATATTTACTCTGGTGTATATGAACATTTCTTGAAACATAAGAATTCACAACACAAGTATGTTAGAAATCTCTACTACTTGGGCGCCTTCTCATACTAAAAACACATGTTAAAACATAAGATTTTTCTTTCATTATTATTCCTATTTCTAAAATAATCCTGAACAAACGGAAAGACTCAGCTTCTCCCACCCCCAGATACGGTTTCCCTAGCAGTGTACCTGCAGTGCAGGCAGCAGAGAGTATGCCTGGGAAGAGGGCAGTGTAAACCCACCTCTCCTTCCCTTCTACTCTTACTCTGTTTTAGACTCTCCAGCTATTTTGTCCATTTAACTCAAACTTCTGTGTGTCCTGTATCTTCTAAGTCCAACGCTCCCTGATTAAGCACATGATACATTTAGTATGTACTTAAAATTCTTGTGTTTGGTACCAGCAGATGGCACAGTGGTTACATCACTGGACTCCCACGTAGTTAACCGCTGTTCAAGTCTTGGACCCAGAGGCTTCAAACTCACGTTGGGCGCATGTGTGTAAACACCCAAAATCCTGAGAGGAGAATGGAGAAGGGATTGTAATGTCGCCCTCTCTCTGGGGGGTGATTTCTCACTTTCTGTCTCTCTATGGTGAGTGCACATACCCTATAGCAAAAATCTCTCTTCAAAAAAACAAAAACAAAAACAAAACAAAAACAAAAAATTCACACTGGGCATGTGTGTGCAGCTCAAGATCCTGAGAGGAGAATGGAAAAGAAGGGATTGATTTCTTGCTTTGTCTCTCTGGCAAATCCATGTGCCCTCATAGCAAGAATCTCTCTTTTAAAAAAAAGAAATCCAGGACCATCAGTTGACATAATGATTATGTTGCTGGACTCCCATGTAGTTGACCATGGTTCAAGTCCTGGACCTGGTGGCTTAAATTCATGCTGGGTGTGTGTGCATGCATGCCCAAGATCCCTTAGAAGAGAATGGAGGAGAAGGGACTGTGGTGTGGCCATCCTCCCTGGGGGGATGATTTCTCGCTTTCTGTCTCTCTGTCTCTCTCTGTCTTTCTGGTGAGTGCACGCACCTCTCAAAAAAAAAAATCCTCCTGTTTAAAAATAGGAGTCTATCACTGAACAGAGACATGACTGTATTATATTACATATAGTAGTGTAAAGAATCACTAGTGAAGAGGAGGAACATGATTAAAAAATAAAAAAATTACTGTCTGTGGCTCAGTCACAGTGGCCCACACTGCTCCACAGGGCTGGGATCATATGGAAGACCTAGGTTTTATTTCCAGTCAAACTTAAAGGCCAGGTATGATGGCAGGTGCTTAGAATCCCAGTAACTCAGGAGGCTGAGGCACAAGGGCCGCAACACAGTGAGACCACGTCTACAAAGTACGAAGCAAGGAGCTTTGTAAAATGGATTTATTTACATTCAGTCAAAACACAGCTATTTGGGGGAACCAGCAGTTAGCGTAATGGCTATGTCGCTGGACTCCCACGTAGTCACCCGCGGTTCAAGTCCTGACAGCTTAAACACGCCGGGCACGTGTGCGTGTGTGCCCAAGATCCCGAGAGGAGAATGGAGGAGAAGGGGTTGCGGGGTGGCCATCCCCCCTGGGGGGGGATTTCTCGCTTTCTGTCTCTCTGTCTTTCTCTGTCTGTCTGGCGAGCACACGCGCCCTATAGCAAAAACCTCTCAAAAAAAAAAAAAAAACCAAAAAACACAGCTATTTGGGGGAACCAGCAGTTAGCGTGATGGCTATGTCGCTGGACTCCCACGTAGTCAACCGCGGTTCAAGTCCTGACAGCTTAAACACGCCGGGCACGTGTGCGTGCGTGCCCAAGATCCCAAGAGGAGAATGGAGGAGAAGGGATTGCGGGGTGGCCATCCCCCCTGGGGGGTGATTTCTCGCTTTCTGTCTCTCTGTCTCTCTGTCTCTCTCTCTCTGTCTGGCTAGCGCACACGCCCTATAACAAAAACCTCTCCAAAAAAAAAAAAAAACCACACAGCTATTCCACATTATACTGACCACCTTTCCTGTGTTTCAGTTTTTAATTACTGCATTTGTGTGGACTTTGATGTAAAGAATGTATTAAACATACTGGCAATTTGGAGGACTTTTGCCACTCTAGCAGAAAATGTAGTCTTAGCTAAGTACAATTGATTGTTAAAGCAAATGTACTAACATTTTAAAATTTTTCTTAAAATTTATGAAAAATACATTTAAAAATTTTTAATTTAAAATTAAAAAGAAAGTTTTATAGTACATTTTACACTGTCTATACATGTAGAGCCAAAGGAATATACAAAAAGTCAAGGAAGGCATTGAATATTAATATTTATTTTGTTGCATATTTATTTTTTTAAAGTACTGCATAAAATGATTGAGAATTAACACTGAAGCCTTGATGAATGATGTAATGGTTACGTTGCTGGACTCCCACGTAGTTGACTGTGGTTCAAGACACTGACCCGGCAGCTTAAAACTCATGCTAGGCATGTGTGTGTGGATGTCTGCCAGCCTACGTTACATAAAAAAAAAATAAATAAATAAAAGTATATTTTTAATTTAGAAATTATTTATTTAATTATATTTGCTATTATTATTATTATTTTTATTTTTAATTTGACCAGAGAGAGACAGAGAGAGAAGGAAAGGGAAAGTGAGAAAACAAGCTGCGAGTCCAGGACTTGAATCATTTCGGCCATGTGGAAGTCCAGTGCCTTAACCACCACTTCACCTGCCAGTTCCTTGAATTAAAAAAAAAATGTTGGAACCAGCAGTTAGCGTAATGGCTGTGTCGCTGGACTCCCACGTAGTCGACAGCGGTTCGCGTCCTGGACCAGGTGGCTTAAAACTCACGCCGGGCATGTGTGTGTGAGTGCCCAAGATCCCGAGAGGAGAATGGAGGAGGGATTGCGGCGTGGCCATCCCTGCCAGGGGGGTGATTTCTCGCTTTCTGTCTCTCTGTCTGGCGAGCGCACGTGCCCTATAGTGAAAAACCTCTCAAAAAAAAAAAAAAAGGAAAGAAAAAAAAAGTCAAAATGGTAAAACTTAAACTAGAAAAATTCTCTGTATGTCCTGGTGTTTTTTTTTTTAAGCAAAATAAAATGTGATGCAAAATTCTGTAGCAAGGGGACCAGCAGCTGGTATAATGGCTATGTTGCTAGACTCCCATGAAATCAACTGCAGTTCGAGTCATAGACGCAGTGGCTTAAACCCATGCTGGACACGTGTGTGTGTGTGCCCAAGATCCCGAGAGGAGAATGGAGGAGAAGGGAATGCGGCGTGGCCATCCCCCCCTGGGGGGTGATTTCTCAATTTCTGTCTCTCTGTCTCTGTTTTTCTGGTGAGTGCATGTGTCCTATAGCAAAAATCTCTTAAAAAAAAAAAATTCTATAACAAGTGACTCTGAGGTAATGTATATTAACATCTTTGATGTGCTGTAGGCCTGGCCCCTACCTAATCCCATCCAACTTTCACATGATGCTACTAAGAGGATTATCATACACAGGATCTGCTTTATTGGTCCACAATACGTCTTCAAAGGGTCATAAACTTAAAGTTTAAAAGCAACACATCTTTTTCTTCCATTTCTTTCCCATTACTTTCAAAAGTTGAAGAAAATTCCTCTTACGTAATAAGCACTGTTTCACCTTAAACCACGCACTAAGCGTGTGTTATCAACCCGACAGTAAAATTGGTTCTGAGGGGGTAAAACGGCCTTACTCTCTATATAAAGCAAAGATACATAACACATTGTATGTGGTGGGGAAAGAATGGGGACAAAGACAGAATATCCAAGAAAGGTAATAATGCAAGAAGAGATTATGAAACCTATGGCATCTCTTAGTCTAGAGAGTAAAGTCAATTCTTGGTTACTCTTAGTATCTTTAAGGAACAAGTTATTCAGGTTAATTTAATATTCTTCAATTGTTATTCCCCCTTTTTTTTTTCTAGAGCGAATTTTGCTTTAGGGGGCGTGCACTTGCTGGAAAGACAGAGACAGAGACAGAAAGTGAGAAATCACTCCCAGGGCAGATGGCCATGCTGCAATCCCTTCTCCTCCATTCTCCTCTCAGGATCTTGGGCACGCACATACACGCGCTTGGCCTGAGTTTAAGCCGCCGGGTCCAGAACTCGAACCACAGTGGACTATGTGGTAGGCCAGTGACGTAACCATTATGCCATCTGCTGGTTCCCAACTGATACCTCTTCCAAATAACCAACTAACTGTAAATTAAAACACTATAAACACACGTCAAAATCATACCAAGTTTCACTTAGTCTTTGATGGTGAAGGAGAAACTTGATCGCCTTTTGTTTTAGAGTCAGAGAACAACGAGTAATGAACTAACATGTGGTGGGCACGTACTAGCACCAGGTACCCACAGCACTGACCCTCACCACTATCCTGTGGTGCAGATGAGGAAGTGAAGGCACAGGGCAGTGAAGTAATCACCAGGTCCCACCCCAAGAACACAGCTGGTCCAGCACTGGGCCCTAACTCCACCCACCCACCAACTCCCAGGTCATGGCTCATGCTCTGCCACTTGCCTGGTCGGATGATGTTATGAGTTAATTTGCTGCTCCAAGCCTCTGCTTCCCTATGTGCGGGAGTAAGTGTCCTCTATACTCCTCTCCCTCTTTGTAATAAAGGATTCTTACCTTTTTACTTGAGACTTGTCTTTTACTTCTCTTTGTTACACCTTGTAGTTCTACACACAGTACACACTCAAATGCAATCCCCTTTGCCTATCATCAACTGGTGACGACGCCTTGCTGTCCATGAAGGATGGGAAACAGGGCCCTAACTCTGTCTCCTCAGACTGCCAGCTGGAGAGTCCAGCTGCTGTGGGGCAGCAGTAATGCTAGTGCCTGCAGTGCTGGAACCAGGTGGCAACCACAGCTGGGATCCTGGGTCAGCCTGAGAAACACGCCATGTGCATGTGTGGACAGCTGGGTACTGAAGAGTGAGAACTGGAAGAGGGGGTCATGGTGTGACAAGACTCCATCTTTCTCTCTACCTCTTTCATGCATATGTACATTTTTTATCGCACACACACACACAATGTACACACATACAAACAAGCTGGAGAGAGGTCAATGAACAAAAGCAATTTAAACATAATACCCTAATAAAAGTTACATGTGTGTGGTTTTTCCTCTCTATTCTCATAATATATTACTGCATCATGCAGTCCTTGTTGATAGCAGGTGACTGAAACAGTGGAAAGCAAAACCACATATAAAGCAGGGACTATTGTTTATGAAACTGGTAACTTTGTTGGCCTGGGGAAGGGAATAGGATGACAACATCATAGAGGAGAGAGAGTTGTTAATTGTATACCTTTTCTCCTTTTGAATCTTGTATATATGCTGCTTTTTAAAAAACGTTTTGTTATAATTGTTCTATTTTATTATTGTTATTACTCTTTTACTTAATTTTTAAATTAAGCTTTACCATAGCTATAGGAAAAAATATACCATCAATATACGTAAGGTTCAGTACAGTCCAGTTTCCGGCATCCACTGGAGACTGTAAACATATCCCCATGGAGAACGGAGGACTACTGTAAGTCCTTCAAAGACACTCTACTTATACATACCCAAACAAATACATACATGTGGTTACCCCGCTGCCACTTCTACACAGAAGGTGGCACAGCATGCACCACTTCCTGCCACGCCTCCCTCAATCACCATGCTAGAGCTGTATGTAGATGGCCTGGGTGGAGGCAGAGTTCCTCTTATTTGGGGTGGTGGGCCATTCCACTGTGTGGAAGGACCATAATTTAGCCGTGGAAGCCATGTAGGTTGTTCCTACGGCAACAGTGACAGTGTATATATTCACCTTGCACATGTCCATGCACACAGGGCTTTAGGATGAAGCCAGAACTGGATTGCTGGGTAAAAGAAAGGTCTTATACTTTATAAATTTAACAGCTATTGCCAAGCTGTCCTCTACAGAAGCTGCCAAGTGAAACAGTGCCACCGAAGAGTACCTGGTTCCCAACAGCCTTGTCAGCACTGTTATTAGATGTTCTCATCTTTGCCTATGTCTCGGTGTAGTTATTAGGGCTAAGGTTCAAACCACAGTGGCCATGTGGGGTCTGGTTCCCTAAGCACAGGGCTTAACTGCTGCACTGTGGGGGCAGCCCACTGTTTTGTTTTGTTTTTGTTTTTTCCTTTAGCAATTTTTAGGAGCTCTTTACACGTAACTTTAGCCATATGAGCCATAAATACCATTTTCTAGTTCATAATCTGCTTTCTGATTTTGCTTAGGATAGTTACTGACAACTAGTCTGTTTTGTTTTTGTTTTAGATAACTCAATTAATTAATTCACCAGTCTTGGCTTTTATGGTTTAGTATTACGCTTTAAAAAGGTCTTGTTGGGCCGGCCCCACAGCACAGTGGTTAAGGGAGCAGGATCCTACATGTTCAACCATAGTTTGAATACCAGGTCTGGCAACTTGAAAAATACACCAGGCATGTGGGTATGCACATGCCAAAAATCTGACAGGAAGAAAGGATGAAGGAGAAAAGACTGTGCCATGCCCAAACCCCACCAAGGGGTGCTTTCTCTTTCTCCTTCCTTCTCTCTTTCTGGCAAGTACATGCACCCTCTGGCAATTAAAAAAAAAGAAAAGAAAAGAAAAAAGGAAGGTCTTGTGTACTCTAAAAGTAAAAAGAACATTTCCCAGAATATTTTTCTAATCTTTTCATGGTTTTAATTATTTTTAAAATCTAGATATTTGACCCATGTGGTATTTATCAAACATAATGCTTTTAAACAGCAAGCTCAAATGCATAGTGAAAACCAGGTGTGGTGGTGCATGCCTGTAGTCCCCACTGGGAGGCTAGGCTAGAGGGCTGGGACCTGACTTGGGTTTGAGAAGAACAGGGGCTGGTGTCTAGAGAAGGGGTATAACCTCAAAATGCAGTAACACTAAGCACAGGGGTGTGCGGCGCCAACTCTCCCTCTTACCCTTTGGATATGAGGGGGGGAGTAACTGTGAATAGTTTATTTTGACATTTAGTACTACTTTACCTAACTTTTATGGGAGAAATGTAAAAATGAGGAAGAAAGAATTTACCTACCTTGTTCACTACTCTCAGTCGGAGAGTCCTCGTGTCGAAGGAAGAACTTCACCTCCTCCCTCCGTGGCCCCCACTTCTGCAGGTGCTCATACATCATGTAATCAAAGGGGATGGGCCGCTCTAGAGGAAGACCATACCTTACTTAGTTCAGAAACAGATGGCTCCGTCAAAGTAAAGGGTTAATACACATTTAAGTAAGCATTCACATGTACACATATACACGCACATACTAGAATTTAAGAATATAATGACCACTACATTTTAACTTAATGAATAAAAGAGCAGGAACTAATTAGGTATATAAACATAACGAGTACATAAAAAGCAATTTTGCAACATTAGACAGGGAACACTGAAGGCACGCCCCTATGATATTTATTCATTGTGAAGTGGTGTATGCCTGTAGCCCAGGGACTCGGGGAGGCTGCTGCAGGAGCACTGCAAGCTCGAGGCCGGCCCAGGCAACACAGCAAGACCCTTTCTGAAAAACAGCCAGGCACGGTGGCGTGTACCTGTAGTCCCAGCCGGGAGGATGAGGGAGGAGGCTCCCAGCATGGCAAGACCCTGATATTAATTAAAAAAACAAAAACAAACAAAACTGGGTTTGCCTCCTTTTTAGCTCTTTAAAGGAATTCTTTATATCCTGAATACTAATCTTGGGTTGGTTAAATATATTGACAATAGCTCTATGGTTTAATTTTGTTAGTATCCTTTTTTTGGGGGGGGTCAGGGTCTTGCTTAAAAATTTTACAAATATGAGGTCATCCATCTTTTCCAATTTCAGTCTGAGTTTTTGGTACAATAAATCCTTCTCTACTCCAAAGTCAAAGATACTCTCCTGTGTTCTATAAATTTTAAAGTATTGCCTTTTATTGATTTGATGGAATTTATCTCTATGAATGGCATATTGATCTTATTTTATGTGTTCCAGCATCACTTACTCAATGTCTATCCTACCCCACACACCTAGAGTCGCCACCTCCAGGATTGTGGTTTTATTTTTTTATATGCCTTTTTTTGAGGGGGGGGGGTACAGAAGCTTAAAAATTTTACAAATATGAGGTCATCCATCTTTTCCAATTTCAGTCTGAGTTTTTGGTACAATAAATCCTTCTCTACTCCAAAGTCAAAGATACTCTCCTGTGTTCTATAAATTTTAAAGTATTGCCTTTTATTGATTTGATGGAATTTATCTCTATGAATGGCATATTGATCTTATTTTATGTGTTCCAGCATCACTTACTCAATGTCTATCCTACCCCACACACCTAGAGTCGCCACCTCCGACACGTACGGGGATTCTGCACGTGCACAGGAGCTTCCTGCGCTCTCTACTTTCCCACTGCCTATCAAGCTACCTGTGTGCCAGTACCACAGTCTGCATCACCATGGTTTTCCAGTAAGCCTTACAATCTGGTAAGCCAATTCCCCTCACATGATCTCACACACACACACACACACACACATATATGAGCAGCTTGTTAAGATCTTTTTTTTTTTAAGAAAACGGGGTAATTTTGTCTGGAATCATATTATTTATAAATAAATTTGAGAAGACCTGGCATTTTTGTGATACAGAGTTCCTTAGTGCATTAATATGATTATGGATCTCCATTTTTAAATGTACCTTGTATTCTTCAGAGATTTATTTCTTTAAAGATTTTTTAAAATTCATACTAGAGGGACCAGCAGTTGGCATAATGGCTATGTCGCTGGACTCCCATGTAGTCGACTGCAGTTCGAGTCCCGGACCCAGTGGCTTTTAACTCACGTCAGGCATGTGTGCATGCGTGCCCAAGATCCCTAGAGGAGAACGAAGGAGAAGGGACTGTGGCATGGCCAGCCCCTCTGGGGGGTGATTTCTTGTTTTCTGTCTCTCTGTCTTTCTGGCAAGCTCATGCACCCTACAGCAAAAACCTCTCCAAAAAGAAAATGCACACTAGAGCATATGTGAGAGAAAGAAGCACCCTCCACAGGACTCCATCAGACAAAGGGCTCTTCCTATAGTCCTGCACTCCCACCAGGATCCTGGGAACCTATGTATGCACCTGGTATTTCAATGTCTTAGAGAGTTTCACCACAGAGGTCTTGCATATCTTAATTTATTCCTCTGCATTGATTTTGCTGTTGTTATTGTTTACATGTGTACATTACCTTTAAAAAAAAAAGGTTCATTTGGGAATAATTTTGTGTGGTTATTTTTATTTTTTTATTTTTTGCCAAAGGGCATATGTGCTCACCAAAGAGAGATATATAGAGACACAGAAAGAAAATGAGAAATCACCCAGGGGTGATGGGCACGCCACAATCCTTTTTCCTCCATTCTCCTCCCAAGATTCTTTGGGCACACATGCACATGTACCTGGTGTGATTTTTAAGCTGGGTCCAGAACTCACACTATGGTCAACCATGTGAAAGTCTAGTGCCTTAACCACCATGCTACCTGCTGGGCCCTATTCAGGAATAATTTTAGGTTTAGAGAAAAGTTGCCAAGATAGGGGACTAGCAGTTAGCGTAATGGCTATGTCACTGGACTCCCATGTAGTCGACTGCGGTTCACGTCCCAGACCCGGTGGCTTAAACTCACGCTGGGCGCGTGTGCATGCGTACCCAAGATCCCAAGAGGAGAATGGAGGAGAAGAGATTGCGGCGTGACCATCCCCCCTGGGGGGTGATTTCTCGCTTTCTTGTCTCTATGTCTCTCTCTGTCTGGCGAGGGCACGCACCCTATAGCAAAAACCTCTTCCAAAAAAAAAAAAAAGTTGCCAAGATAGTACAGAAAGCTCCTGTATACCTTTCATCCACTCAAAGTTAGTATCTTATGTAACTATGGTATATGTGTCAGAACTAAGCAACTTACACTGGTACCTTACCGCTAATTAAATTCCAGGCTTTATGTGAATTTCACCAGTTTTTCCACTAATGTCCTCTTTCTGTCTCAGGATCCAATCCAGAAAAACCACACTCCATCTCCTTGGTCTCCCTAGCCTGTAATAGTTTCTCTGTCTAGGTTCTCATGACCTTGACAGTGTGAGAGGTTCTGGTCAAGTGTAGAGGGAGACTGAGGTGATGGGTTGGGGAAAAACACCCATAGAGGTGAAGCGCCCTCCTTGTCCCATGGTAGGAGGAGCACCTGCCACCATGGTGATGCAGTGCTGGCCAGACTGGCCTTGGCCACTTAGCGGAGATGGTGTCTGCCAGGTTTCTCACCATGAAACCACATTCTTCCCTTTCCATATTCTGTTCTTTGAAAACAAGCCACTAATCCCAGCCTACCGCAGAGATGGAATTATTCCATACACGTAACAGGTTTTGCCTCCTCTTTTCTGACTTTTCTTGGACTGAGAGCTCTCTGTGCTCCCCTTTCCCCTCCCTCCTGCTCATTTCTAAGCGCTGTACAGGTGCAGTATCACTGATACCTCATTATCACCAGCAGGGAAGCCAGCGTAGAGCAGCGAGCTGGCCTCGTCCGGCCTCAGGTGGAGTGCCCCTTCAACCCGCTGCACCACAGGCTCTGCCTGGCCTCTCCCCAGCCCAGGGCCTGCAGCCCTGCCTTGTTACCGCCTCGCACCTCTGCTCCACAGCAGGTCTACAGGATGTTTATCTTCATTGCTCCTTTTTCTTTTAATGTGCAAGTATTCCCTTAGTTTTCATATATTTTCTCTATAATTTTTTTTTCTTTTTAAAATAAATTTGGAGTTTACGCATAAACCTAATGCATCGATTTGGCCAGTATTAATTCTTAAGCTTGATTTGAATCTTGTACACTCATTGATCTTGACTTTTTCATCTTTTTGGTTATTTAGGCAGAAAAGATCTTCATTACTCTCCTCTATTTCAAACCTAGTCTTAAAGCCTCAATGGTTATGATGCTATCTAGTTCCATTAACAGTCCAGGTAGAAGACGGGAGGTCAGAGATTCAGTTAACAAATTTCAAATCCTAATTTCTCCTCCTAGACCCTGAGTGCCACAGATATCTGTAACACCAAACTATGCTTGTGGCTGGTGGGAACACAAAAAAGAGCCACACAAACCAGTGGCGTAACATGTTCCTCGCCTCCAGGGGTATTTTGGTGGGATTCTGGTTAGCTTATAAACCCTGCAAGGGCAGAGAATCACCCGCTAAATCCATGGAACTGTTACCCAAGGCAGGTAGAGTTAGTAACCTTTATACAGCTGAGTTCTAGATGAATAAGATTAAGTGCTCTGATGTAATTATGTCCAATCTAAACTAATCTTTGAGATAGCCAAGATGTTTATGTTAGCTCACGCGGTCACTCAAGAACCACAATGAAGGAGGAGATTATAAAACTGCATGCAGAAACTCTGGGGGGCCAGCCCTGAGGGCAGCAGTCGAGCACTGTGCATAGGGAGGGGGGTCCCACAACTGACCGTGGTTCTAATCCAGCCCTGATGGCTTGAAACCTACTGGGCACATGTGTGTGCAGGCCTAAAATTCTGACAGGATGGAGAAATGGAGAAAAGAGATTGCAGTGTCACAGTACTCCTATGGAAGGTGCATCTTTTCTCTGTCCTGAGTACATACAGCCTCTGGCAATCAAATAAACAAAACAAACAAAAGAACATGCTCACCTCCCCCAGAAAACCCTGGAACGATATGGGAGAAAGACTGGTTAACAGATTCCAATCGATCCTGTTCTTAGTTACCTGTTTCTTTTCCGTAACAAAGTCAGCCTTACCCATTCATTAATGTTTTTTTTCCTTTATTCATGATAGAACATGTGGGTGCCTATAGGGGAGAAGTGAGGCAGGGTGGGACACAGGGTCTGCTCATGCCAGATCAGTCTTCCTCTAGTCCTCCAGTCTGTCAGATCCTGCACGCGCATATGTGTCCAGCATGTTTTAGGTTGACTGGGCTGGGGATTCAAACCACTGTTGCTATATGGGATCTGGTTTCTCATAAGCAGGGCATCACTGCTATGCCATGGAGCTGGCCATAGTTCCACCATTTTCTAAAGTACTGAAACCTTGGCCAGCAGTGGCACGGTGGTTAAAGCGCATGGATACCACATGGACGACTATGTGGTTTGAGCCTTGGGTCCAGTGGCTTGATACCAGGCACGTGTTGCGTACATGCTCAAAACTCCAACAGGAGAAT